CAGTAGGAGGTGTGATGGAGCCACTGTGTAGACTGTAGAGTGCTGTGGAGCAGTAGGAGGTGTGATGGAGCCACTGTGTAGACTGTAGAGTGCTGTGGAGCAGTAGGAGGTGTGGTTTGAGGGTCCCTGGGGGTAGACTTTAGAGTGCCATGGAGCGGTAGGAGGTGCGATGGAGCCCCTGTGTAGACTGTAGAGTGCCATGGAGCAGTAGGAGGTGTGATGGAGCCCCTGTGTAGACTGTAGAGTGCCGTGGAGCTGTAATGGAGCCCCTGTGTAGACTGTAGAGTGCCGTGGAACTGTAATGGAGCCCCTGTGTAGACTGTAGAGTGCCGTGGAGCAGTAGGAGGTATGGCTTGAGAGTCCCTGTGTAGACTGTAGAGTGCCGTGGATCAGTAGGAGGTGTGATGGAGCCACTGTGTAGACTGTAGAGTGCTGTGGAGCAGTAGGAGGTGTGGTTTGAGAGTCCCTGGGGGTAGACTTTAGAGTGCCATGGAGCGGTAGGAGGTGCGATGGAGCCCCTGTGTAGACTGTAGAGTGCTGTGGAGCGGTAGGAGGTGCGATGGAGTCACTGTGTAGACTGTAGAGTGCCGTGGAGCGGTAGGAGGTGTGATGGAGCCCCTGTGTAGACTGTAGAGTGCCGTGGAGCAGTAGGAGGTGCGATGGAGCCGCTGTGTAGACTGTAGAGTGCCGTGGAACAGTAGGAGGTGTGATGGAACCCCTATGTAGACTGTAGAGTTCTGTGGAGTGGTAGGAGGTGATATCTGAGCCCTTGTGATGTAGACTGTGGGGTGCAGCTCCCCGATTTGCACACTTTGAACAGGGCTCCTTGCAGGACTGGCACTGTAGCAGCCCCCAGAAAGGCAGAGGCCCAGAGGCCTCAGTTTCCCCGGCTGTAAGGTGGGGAGGATGCCGTTGCTGCAGGGTGTCGTGAGGATGGGGTGAGGTGCCATTGTGCCGAGCCTGGCCCAGGGTGGGTTCCTGGGATGCGTTGGTCCCCCCTGCACCCCTTCTGAAGCCCGAGCCCACAGTGAGCTGGAATAAGGAAGTGTGCGGGTGCTCAGAGGGTCATTTTTAGCGGCAGGCGTGACTCAGAGAGGCCAGGACCCAGGCTCTCTTCCTGTGTCACCCTGCACCCTTGGGTTTCGGTCCTGACATTGGGGAAAGAAAGTCATATCTGGCTGCTCTCAGTTTTGCTTCTGATGGAAACAGCCCCTCCCTGCTTCCTGTGTGACCAGGCAGGAGGGGCCTGGGGCCCCTGAGGCTGGGGACATGCAGTGAGTACCCCACTGCTTCCCGGCAGCTGTGGGCCTGTGGGTGCCCTCTCCACAGGTCCCGGGAGAAGTTTCCCCAGGGCCCCGGCAGAGGGAGTGTCCCCCCGAAAAGGGTCTGTGCTAGCTTCCTGGGGCTGCGGTGACAAAGCGCCACAGCCCGGGGCTGAAGCCACAGAAGTTCAGGGCCTTACTGCCCCAGAGGCTGGGAGTCCCAGATCCAGCCGTTACAGGGTGGGTCCTCTTTCCTCGTGTGTAGACAGCCGTCCCCTCCCTGTGTCCCCTGTACTCCACGGCCACGCTCATCCACCAGGCTGTGTGGCAGTGTGGCTGCCCCCTTGTCACAGGGCTGGGCGTGTCATGGGCACCTCTGTGGGTGCTTCCCTGATGCAAGGCCTCAGGAGGTTGGGGCTGCATGCCATGGCAGGACCAGACCACCCTGGTGGTCTCAGGGCCTCTGGTGATAGGCTGGCACTGAGACTCTGTGGTGACGAGTGGTTTGGAATAGCTCTGCCGAGCAGAGTGGGGACTCCCTCCTAGTGCCTGTTCCCAGTGCTTCCTCCTGCTGATGCTTCTGGAAGCCTCCGTGCCAGGCCCAGGGAGGCCCTTTTGTGTGGGTGTGAGCCATGGGGGCCAGCGTCTGTGCCAAGGCAGTGGCCCCAGCCCTTGTGGGTTTCCTGCCTGGTGGGGTGTGGATGAGGCCACAGGATGGCCGTTAACTTCCTTGATGTCCACGTCACATGGAGACACCAGGCTCCTGGCTCATACGTGTGACGCTGGTCCTCCCCATGGCTCTGAGAGGCCAGGTACATTATCCCCGTATTACAGACGACAAACCGGGGTGCAGGGGTCGGGGCTGATTCCCCAGGGTCATACAGCTAGCCCCCTATAGGGGGTGGAGTGGTGTCCCTCAAAAGACAGGTCAAGTACTAACCCCAGGACCGGTGAAGGGACCTTATTTGGAAATGGGGTCCTTGCAGATGAAACCGAGTGAAGGATCTTGAATGAGATCATCCTGGGTTTAGGGTGGGAACAAACTCCAATGGCAGCTGTCCTCGTAAGAAACAGGAGAGAGAGACTGAGATGGACGCACAGAGAAGCCACGCAATGATGAGGCAGAGATTGGAGTGGTATGGCCATGAGCCCGGGAAGCCAGCAGCCATCAGAAGCTGGAGGAGGCGGCCGGCCCCGTGGCTTAGCAGTTAAGTGTGCGGCTTAGCAGTTAAGTGTGCGCACTCCACTACTGGCAGCCTGGGTTCGGATCCCGGGCGCGCACTGATGCACCGCTTGTCCAGCCATGCTGAGGCGGCGTCCCACGTACAGCAACTAGAAGGATGTGCAACTATGACATACAACTATCTACTGGGGCTTTGGGGAGAAAAGGGGAAAAAAAAGGAGGAGGATTGGCAATAGATGTTAGCTCAGGGCTGGTCTTCCTCAGCAAAAAGAGGAAGATTGGCATGGATGTCAGCTCAGGGCTGATCTTCCTCACAAAAAAAAATTCCATTTAAAAAAAAAAAAAAAGGGAAGCTGGAGGAGGCCTGGACCAGACTGTCCCTCAGATTCTCCAGAAGGAACCAGCCCTGCAACACTTGGGTGTAGCCTTTGGGACTCCAGACCCCTGGGAGATGAGATCTCTGTTGTTTTAAGATGCCCAGTTTGGGGTGATTTGTTATGGCAGCCCCAGGACTCTCATGCACACCCACGGAGCGAGGGTCCCCAGAGTCACAACTGAGGGTGCGAGGCTGCAGCGAGAGGGCAGATCGATTCCAACAGACCTGGATTTGGGCCCCAGCTTTGTGGCTGACTGCATGGGCCCAGCGTGAAGCCAGAGGTCTCCTGTTCTGTTCCATGTAAGTGACCAGAAATAGAAGAGCCCGGAGCCTGAGGACCCATGCTGAGGCCGTGCCCACCCTCTGCCGCGCGCCTGGGTTGTGTGTCATCTAGAGAGGGACGGCCTCCTCCAAGGTGTAGTGCCATTTCTGCAGTGACACCAGTTTAAATTTACGTGGGTCAGAAGCAGAAATGCAAGCGTGGTGTCTTCTGGGGACAGGGGTCTTGGCACAGCAGCTGAGCGTGAGGAGATATGCGTGACCTCAGAGGGGGCCAGGGGCCTCCCCTCGGAGCCTGCAGTTCTTCCTGAGTCTCCGTCCAACAGTTTCTTCCTGACCCCTGCAGGGGACGCCCAGCCAGGGGACGGTCAGGGGCAGCTTCCTGGCCTCCGGGGATCCTGACAGTAGCCGTCCCTGTTTCTCAGAGCCACCCTACAAGGTAGTGACAGGAGGCCATCTCCCAGAGGAGAAGATGGGGGCTCCGGTCTGGTCCACTTAGGCCGGGAGAGGCGAAGAGGGGTCCAGGTGCATCTGCTCATCCCCCATGGCCTGTCCCCAAGGGGTGACAGGCTGAGGTGAGGTGAGAAGGTGATGAGGACCTAGGAGGGACAGCCTTGGAGGACCCCAGGTCCAACATCCCTAGGATGTTTGGGAATCTGGGTCGGTCTGTCCACCCTGGCCCCGCCAGAGGGAAGCATCAGAAGAAGAAGAAAGATGGTGACTGTGCGCTCGGGGAACTTACATGCTAGAGGTGGACACAGATCATAAACCCCATAAACTGGATAATTAGTGAGTCGTGGGGCCTGTTCAAGAGTGTGGAATGGGAATGCTGCAGAACAGGTTCTGTGAGGGGTCTGGGAGGTGGGGTTGGGTGTCAAGGCCAAGGTCATGGAAGCCCTCCTCATGGACACTAAAGCAAAGCTTGGAGATGAGGAGGTGTAGGGGCTGCTGGGGGGCATACGTGGGCAGGGGGCTGAGTGGGAGGAATGGAGAGGAGGAGGCGTGCTGAGCTGGGGGGTGGAGATGAGGTCAGGGCCACTAGGGGTTACAGAGGGTCTTGTCTGCTCTGGAAGAACTGAGTGGGGGCGATGGAGGGCTTTGAGCTGAGGGCACAGTTGCCTTGTGTCCTTCCGGCTGCCTGGGGAGGACAGACCCTGGGGGGCGGCCTAGGGCCGTGGAGGGGAAGCCGAGCTGGATTCGCTGTCCTGCGGGGCCTGGAGGAAGGAGGAACGGGGCCTCGCCCGAGTCGGGAGGTGGGCGGGAGCGGTCGGAGGTGTGTGCTGCCCACTGGTGGAGGGGCCGGGAGGGCTGTGGTGTCAGGGCCGCCCCTCCTCCACCGGCCTGGCCGTCCCTGCTGTTGCCCTCTCGAGACCGCTGACCTGCTGCACCCTGACCACGGCTTCCCTGATGAGGGTCGGCCTCACAGAGGCCAGGCGCAGGCAGGGCCTCCAGGCGTGGGAGAGGGACTGGGGTGCTCCCTGGGGACAGACGCTGTGCCCCTGTCGCCTCACTGGGGGCGGGGGCTGGGTTCTGGCCTTTTTCTTCTCTAAATCCTAATAATCAGACTGAAGGGAGGCAGGCGGTGGGATAGGATGCAGCGCGGTAACACGCCGTGACGTGCTGACCTGGGGCACCTGCCGGTGAAGGAAGCCAGTTGTAAATTAAGGCCACACAGGCACAGTTCCGTTTACGTGAAATGTCCAGAAGGGGCAGGACATCTACTTCCCAGAGCCAGGAAGTAGATTCATGGTTCGAGGGGCAGGGGGGGTAGGAGGAGTGACTGCTAATGGGTATGGGTTTCTGTTTGGGGTGATGAAATGTTCTGGAACTGGGTAGTAGTGATGGCTGCACAACCTTGTGAATATACCATGAACCACCGAATTGAACACTTTAAATGGGTGAATTTATGGTGTGTCATTATATCTCAGTTTTATAAAGGGGAGGTATTGAGTGGTAAAACTGAGTAGCAAATGATTTTAAAAATCAAAGCTGGCAGCCCTTCCTGGCCTCCTCCTGTGAGGTAGGGGGACAGTGTTCATGGCCCTCCCTCCTGACTGGCAGGTCTTCCAGGGCCTCGTGCCCACAGGGGCGCCAGGAGCCTCCTGTGGCCCCGCATTCAGGCCTGGGGAGCGTTTCCCGGCGCGAGTGGCATCCCAGGGTCCAGGCTTACTCTCCCCTCTCTCCCCAGACTCCTGCGGGAGCAGTGGATACGGGCCAAGTACGAACGGCAGGAGTTCACCCACCTTGAGAAGCAGGAGCCCTACTCTGCAGGTAAGGGCGGCCAGCCGGAGACGGGCGGGCTGTGGGCGGCTCTGTGTTCCGCCCTCTCTCTGTCTCTGTCTCTGTTTCTGTCCCTCTCCATCTCTGCCTCTGCCTCTGTCTCTGTCTGTCTCTGTCTCCCCCTCCGCCCAGAGCTGGCAGAATCATTAGGAACCTGGATGATTGGCTAATTGGTCTGAACCCGTGTCCGGTCCTTTGGCCTCCTGACATTCAGCTGGGTGACCTGGTGCTCAGAGTCCCCGTGGCCATTCACAGCCGAGTTCTGACCGTGTGCGGTGTGCACGGGGAACCCACAAGGCTGCAGCTGGGGCCTACAGGCCATGAGGGAGCCGTGCCTCTGCTCTGGGGGGGGCCTGCGGGTGAGGGTCCTGGTGGGAGGGATGTGGACAGGCCTTGGTCCCGGATAGGGGTGAGAGGGCACAGCACCAAAGCCAGGGATGGGCCAGGCCACCCGGTGGCCCTGTCAGCACCGTGGACGTTTGCTGCCAGGAGCGATGCCTGTTCTGAGCGTGAGGAAAACCAGCCAGGGGTGATCAGATGAGAGGTGGCTCCAGAGTCAATCCGAGTGACCCCACTGTCCCCTCCACACCGGGTGGCTCAGAGCATGTAACTGGTCCCGAGTCCATGGGCTGTGAGGCCGGGCGGGGCTCTGTGAGCAGCTAGCGCTCCTGTGGAGCAGTCCCTTCCTAGTCCTCCCCTCCAGGGTGCCCTGCCCCCCGCTGGGCTCAGGGCTGGTGTGTGGCCTTGATTCAATTACGGCCCACCCCAGGCAGCCATTTCCTGCCCTCCTCATGATCCCTAACGATCCCTAATGAGAGGGGGAGGGGGCGGGGGAGGATGTGGGCATCTGCCTGTTCAACACCCAGGACATGCCTGTGCTCTGTGCCTGCCTGAAACCCGGCCTGCTTGCTCTGGAAACCCTGGGAAGGCTCACCCCAGAATTCCTTTGTCTCCCAGGCATAAACGTCTTAGCAATTTATAACAACAGCGTGTGACCTCATTTCAGAGGTGGGTGCAGGCAGGGCTGACACAGCTACATCACGGAATTTTATATCTCTTCTTTCACCAGAGGATGCTCTGGTTGTAAGCGACAGAAATCTAACTCAGTTGGGTATAAGGAAAACAGAAAATGAATTGGCTCACATAATTGGGCTGGCTTCAGGCACAGCTTGATCTAGGGGTTCAGTCAGTGTTGCCAAGACTTGGCTTCAGTGTTTCCACCTCTGGTTCTGCTTCCCTGGGTTAGTGCCAACCCTCCTGGTGGAAGTTTTACTCCAGCAGGTCCGGATTTTCCATCTCTTCTCATTCAGGTACGAGTGTGACTTTCACAGAGGTGTCAGGGATGGTCAAGGATGGGCATGGGACCCAGTCACGATGACCAGGGAGGTGTGATGTGTGCCTGCCTCTGGAACTGGGAGCAATCTTCCCGAGAAAAAGTGGGGTCTAGGTTCCGGAAGTGGGGGTGCATGCAGGGTGGCAGAACCAACAGATCTTGGCTGTTACAGGTGTTTGGAGAGTGGGGGTTTTCAGGCATATTTGGGTGTCAGTTCCAGGTGCTCAGGTCAGCTGGGACCAGGCCTCTCCCTCTGCCCCGCGCCAGCAGGTCTCGGGAGGGGTGACAACCGTCGGGAGCTGGAAACCTCTCCCTCCCTCTCCCGGCCGTCGTTCCCATTAGGATGCTTCCTCCAGCTAACATGTCACCGCTGCCCTTCTCACGAGATGTCCCCAGTTCCTCGGGAGTGTTTGAGACATCAGGGAGAGGCCTGCAGGAGGACAGAAGTTCTCAGGGACACTAGCAGGGTCTGAGCGGGTGGCCTTTGAAACCCACGGGTGTGCGGACGGCTGCGTCTGGGTCAGACCCTCTTGGGCTGGTAGGAGGAGCGGAGGCCGCATCCGTCTGTGGAGGGCCAGCCCCTCCTCTCGGGCACCTCCGCTACCTCACCTGGACTACGGCTGTGGGAGGCATGCGTGTGCGGCCCCCTCGGGGATGCCGTGGGCGCGTGTTGGCTGGGCAGCAGGGTGCGGGCCCTTCACAAAGGGCCGGGGCACAGCCACCACATGCAGGAACAGCCTGGGGGGGGGCAGGCGAGCCTGGCCGGGGCCATGACCACAAGAAGAGCACTCGGGGGGCTTCTCAGAGGGGCTGCCGAGCAGCGGGGGTGCGACCATGGGTGTGTAGGCACCTGCGAACCACCCGTGCTGGGGGAAGGCCCCCCAGAGCCTGGAGGGGACAGTGTCCTGAGAACTGGCTGGAGGAGGCAGTGCTGGCGCCCTGGACTGGCCCTCCCTGCTCTGCGCTGGGTCCTCCTCCTCCTCCTTCACCCCGCTGCCCTACTCCCCAGGTGGCATCTGAGTGTGGCAGTGCCTCTCACACTGGAAGGGGCAGTTTGGAGCCTTCCGGCCCTTTCCATGTGCAGACTCTTATCTCTGAGCGCCTGGTCCCCTCGTCCTGGCCTCGGAGGGCTCCCTGGCGTGGAGGCGACCCCAGCCCCTCTTCTGCTCCCACGGAGCCCTAGTGCGGAGGCCCTTCATGAAGCTCTCACGTCCCACCTCTGGAGTGCTAACCCGCCGCCTCCCCAGGCCCTGAGTATTCGTACTGGTGATCCCTCCCAACCCAGCCCTCAGATTCATAGGAACAGGGCCCTGGGGCCATCGGCTCGTCCCCTGCCTCCAGCGAGGTCCTCACCACACCACCCTTGGGGCAAGGCCACCTCATGTGAAGAGGTGCCTGGTGCTCTGGCTGAGGGCCCTGGCTGCTGGCATCCCCCCTGGGGACCCAGAGGAGCCTGAGCTGTGGTCCTGTGTGCGGGTCCTGACAGAACATCCCCTAAATCTCACCTGCTTGCAGCAGAGGCCTCCCCTCCCTTCCCATTGGGACTGGGACAGCCCCAGGAGGTGGGGCAGCATCAGGGAGATCCAGGGCACTGCCCCCCACAGCCTCTAGTGCCTGGCTGCCTGGGGGCCCCAGACCCACATCCTGCCCAGCACATGGCTGGGTGGAGGGGGTGCAGACCCCAGCTTCCCTCTCCCCCCACTCCCCCAGCCCGTGTCCAGGGCTGGCAGGGTAGGTGAAACAGATGCGGCAGGACCGGGCTGGGCACCCCGGGACATGCCCCTAGCCCTGTGGGTCCTCCTCGGAGGGCTCCTCGCAGCCCGTGAGGAGCACCGGGGGATTCCCGAGGGCACTTCCCTCCTGCTCCCCGTTTGCCGCAAGAGCACTTTCTCACGCAGAGGGGATGACACACCCACCGGCCACACGAATGCAGAAGTCCCGGTGCTGTGCGGCGCCGTGCGAGGAGGAAGGGGAAATGCAGTCATCGAGGTGAGGCCTGGCCAGGCGCCCGGCCCCGACCTGCCGGGAATGGGCCGGGGCTGTGGGCCATGCAGGGCCGGCTGTGGCATTCTGTGTGAGGAGCCTGTGTGGTCAGCTTTGCTGTGGAGCCCCTGGGGGTGTTGGGAGTTGGGGCAGGTGGTTACCACTGGACGCCAGACCGCAGCAATGTCTAGAGTGGACCTGCCAGTGAGGCCTGTCCACCCAGCACCAGCACCTGCTCAGCCCTCAGACCAGCACTTAGGGCGTCCTGGGAAGAAGAGTCCTGCCGCCAGGTGTCTGGGAGCTCCTGGGACCAAAGCTGGACAGTTTGAGCAACAAAACGAATAGTGACCCCATAGGACTTTAACCCACAGAATACAGAGCATATCTACGAGTCTGTGCCCATATAAAGAACTGAATTAATAAGTAAGGGAGGGGAAAAGAGACAGCTGTTTCTTACAGAAGTCTAACTAATGAAGGTGGAAGAAATGAGGGACACGGAAGATCGCCATCGGTCAGACACGCCAGTGGAACAGATGGGGACAAGATCCCCGGTGGGCGGTGGGTCGGAGGGCAGAGCTGGAAGGGCGGGATTTGCATGGTCTCCAGGTGTCTTCCCAAGATGCTGACGAGGACAGAGGAGAAGCTGCACCTTTCCTGTGGGGGACCCAGCAGACGCCTTCTCAGATGACCCAGGGGTGTTGACCACGTGCACTGAGAGCCACCTCTCTCTACGGTTTAACTTCACCTTAGTCAAGAGGAGACGTCGGACAGCCCCAGCCCCAGGGACAATGAACGGACACCTGACCAGTGCTCCGGAGGCCAAGGCTGTGGAACGCAGGGCAAGATGTGGACACCGTCAGAGGTTGCCGGTGGCTGAGAGAAGTCACAGCCACGTGCAGCGTGCTCTGGACGGCATCCTGGGGCCGAGGGGACGTTGTGGGACCTCCGTGGACAGGATGGGAGTTGCCCATGGTAACTGCTGGCTCTGATGGCTGTACTGTGGTCACAGTGCTGATCCCGTGGCCTGGGGAGTCTGGAGCCCGCCTTGGGTCCCTGCTTGGTCACTGCACATGTGCGTCCCCGCACGCTGACAGTCCGGATGGGACCTGGCACCCACGCAGCTGAGTCTTGCAGGACCTGGTGGCAGAGAGGGCACAGGCCAGGCCGTGGCAGCAGGGCCTGGGCCCCAGGTGGACCCAGACAAGCAGGTGCCTGCCTGGCATGCCCCACTCCTGCGATCTGCGCTACCGCCCTCAGGCAAGGTCACAGGTGTGGGGGACGCGCCTGCACCCTCGCCCTGAAATAACGGGGCCTCCGGGGCTGGGCCGCGCTTCCCACCTGCCCCACCCCAGGCCCTGCTCGCTGGGGCTGACCCAGGGTACAGCTGCTCCTGGCTCCCTCCCCACGCTGTCCCTATCTTGAGCCAGAGCCTCAATGGCTGCCTTTCACGGCCAGACAATGCCCCCTGTTGTCCAGAGGGCCAGGCCGCCCGGGCCGTCCCCAGTCACCGACAGACACAGCACTTCCTGCCGAGGCTCCAGACCCCCATACCGCCCGTGGGTTTACGCCCCTCCCTGCCTCCTCTCTGCCCACTTGTCCTCCCGTGGGTTAGGGGTCCCCCTCCTGAGACGCCTGGCTGTGCAAAGCAGGGCCGTCCCGCCTTTGTCCCAAATGT